TGGCTGCTGGTAGAAAGCAGATGGTGTGCGGCAAATGCTGGGGAGGCGGCGGACGTGGACGGCGACGCAGGCTGTTTGACGGAGGAGCAGAGGGGCACTGGCTTGAGGGACAGGCAGAATAAATGGACACTTCATTATCCGTGGATTAGGCACTTGGCATGGAGGTCCTAGGCGACTCTGAAATTGGTCATTCGGCCAAGAGGCTCATTAAGCTCTTAAGAAAAGTGAGGCTAGTTAATGAATTAATACAAGATGACATTTTTCACACCGAGCAAAAAAAAACCCAGGAGACCAGGCATAGCTGAGCTGTGTGGCAAGGAAATTCCTCCAGCGAATATGATCATCGAGCCTGCCAAAGTGGGCGGTCTGGAGAGAGCCAGCTTTCAGGGACAGGCAAGTCCAAGAGCCCCCATGAGGGATCCTACAACCTAGAGGGGTGACCCACAAGTCCAGCTTTTGAAAGCTCTGGTCAGATTTATTTTCCGTGTGAAAATTCCACCACGTTCCTCCTTGAAGGAGTACGTGTCCCTGGGGAAGAGCTCAGTGACTCTTGATGGCCTGTACACCCCCCACCCCCCAAAGCAAGCCCCCAGCTTCCGCCACCAGTGTCGGGGATGGGGGAGGTCAGCCTGTGAGCTCCAAGAACCCTGAGTTGCTGCCGGCGAGCCGGCCTCGGATACCCGGCCACAAACCGCGATCCTGCGCCTTCCCTGTGTTCCACAGGGGGCCTGACCACTGACCACGGCTGGTTTTTCTAGCGTCTCCGGCCTTTCCTTCTCGTCCATGTTAGTCTGCTGCTACAGCCCGCTGCTGCTGGATGGAGTCAGACTCAACTCACTGCTGGACGCTGTCAGAGAGGAGAAGTAGCCCCATTACCTGTTTTAGAGCGACCATTAAGGGCTGTTATCCATGTCCTGATGCGCATCTAGCAGATTGTGGCTAGTTTATACTGTCTCGTGAAGTGTACAGACTTTTTAAAAGCTATTCTCGAAGAAAAGAAAACAATGAATACATAACTCACTGCTGTCACACCAGGTCAGTCCCTAGGGAGCCTGCAGGACACATAGAGCTGCTCCTGTGGGCATCCGAGGTTGGTCAGTCTCCGTGGGACCAGGCAGCCCCCTCTCTCTCCCATGGTGCAGCTGGGGGTTCACGCTGCTGAGCCGACGGCCCAACAAGTTAGCCCACTGTGCCACCGGGGCGCCTCTTCAGCATCCGGTGCTTAGGTGCCACCAAGTCAGTTTTCATCTCCCAGCGACCCCATGTGACGGGTGCCCCAGGGGCTGTTCTAGGAGGCTGTCCTTCCCATAAAGAGTTAACAGCCTGGGAAACCCACAGGGGCAGCTCCGCTCGGCCCTGTAGGGTCACGGTGAATTGGAATGCCTGGGCAGCGGTGAGTGTGGTTTTCACCACCATCAGTTTTCACACACACACCACCACCACCACCACCACCACCACCACCCTGGCTATTTGCAACTCCAAGGTCTTAGTTGCGAATAGAGCACTTCGCTGTTGCCCCACCCGGTCTCCTTTTCCACCTCTTGGAGAGGCACCACCCTCCTTGGGCAGACAGGTGGCATCTGCACTTGAGTTGCATCAGCCAGGAATCGAACCCAGGGCTCCACCTGGAAGGCAGGAATTCTACCCCTGAACCACCACTGCACGCGAGAAGTAGCATCGGCCCATTGCCATCCCAAGGTTAGGTTCAAGGGGACACTTCTAGGTTTAGAACTGCTACAAGCCCTAGGTTTAGAGCTGCTACAAGCTCCAGACAAATCCAGTTTACACAGGTCTCTGCCTCAGTGGCGGCAGCAGCAGCAGGCGCATTCTCTCAGTCACACCCTTGTCTTCGTCTCGTTAGGGGGCTGTCGGGGGGGAAAACACAGCCCCATTAACACAGTGGCTTCTGAGTGGATCTGCTGGGCCGCTGGGAGGCACAGAGGCCGTCAGGAGGGTCTGGTGCCTGTTTGGCGGACCCCAAGGGGTGATTGCGGTAGGTTTTTGAAGAGCAGAGGCAGTCAGCAGGAAGAAGTTTCTAAGAACATCGACAACCACGTTGGCGAGAAGGAAAAAAAGATAAGACTGTACTGAGGAAATCCTTTTTTCCTTCACCGTGCACCTTTCTCTTCAAGGGTGGCCCCAACTGCCCCCCTCCATCCTTCAGCCCTGGTCCTGAGGCTCCAGACTTCGTGTTGCCCCACACTCAGCAGACAGACACAAGATGCCAAAACTGCCACATCAAGGTGGCAGAAAGTGGACAGTGCCTGGTTCTTTGGGGAAAGACACCGGGAGGTGGGAAGCTCAGCCCTCCGACGCGGATGGACCGAGCTAGAGGGAGGAGACACCAGCTGCGCCTCCTGGCCTTTGGTTTTCATAAAGCATTCTGAGACTTTGTAGCGATGCCCTTTGACTTACCCTGGGGCAGACTTGGGGACTCTGTCCTCCCAGTGGCCCACTGAGATGGGTGCCATTACATAGCCCTTCTCGGGAGGGGGCAGCTGAGGCTCATAAAAGGTTACATCACTTGCTGCCACCGATGTGCTCGATGTGACGGCCCAGGATCCGCCGCGGGGCTCTGCGGCTCGTGTGGAGGAGAAGAAAATGAGGAGCATGTTTTCTCGTCCGCTGGAGTTCTGAGAACAGACAACACGCCAGAGTGGCAGCTAATGGGCTCCAGAAACAAACCCAGCCCGCTTCCTTTCCTGGCTGCTCCGCCAGCACCTCCCGCCACCCAGTGGGGACCTCACCACCTCCGTCCGTGTGTGCAGTCGTGAACTGGTGACCGCTAGCAGCTTGAAGACTCCTCCGGGATTTTTGGTCCGTGTTCAGGTTTCCATGGTGGGGGTAAAACCTCCTAAGAGGAGTCTTCTTCGCCTCTCTCAGATCAGAATCATTTCAGGAATCCAGAAGTCCTCGTATGCGGAGCGGAGACGATGTCTTCTTCTCTGAAGAAGGAGCGTGGCTTCCAGTCCTGTCTGCCAAGTGATGTCTCATTTAAGTTTAGACAAACGAATGAATGTACCGGAGTCAGTTTGCATTCCCCTGCATTCTGTGCACTGAGGGAACCTCAGGTGCCCCTGCTTCATCTGTTCTTCATGTGTGTTCCATTATGCACGTCCTTCATACGTGTTACATTATGCACTTCATGCGTGTTCCATTATGCACGTCCTTCATGCGTGTTACATTATGCACTTCATGCATGTTACATTATGCACTTCCTTCATGCGTGTTACATTATGCACTTCCTTCATGCGTGTTCCATTATGCACGTCCTTCATGCGTGTTACATTATGCACTTCATGCATGTTACATTATGCACATCCTTCATGCGTGTTACATTATGTACTTCCTTCATACGTGTTACATTATGCACTTCCTTCATGCGTGTTACATTATGCACGTCCTTCATATGTGTTACATTATGCACTTCCTTCATGCGTGTTACATTATTGGAGCCCTGGTGGAATGGTGGTTACAAGTTGGGCTGCTAACCACAGATCAGCAGTTCTAAGCCACCAGCCGCTCCAGGAGAGAAAGACGAGGCTGTCAGTTTCCTTAAAGAGCTACAGACTCGGAAAGCTGCAGGGGCAGCTCTGCCCTATCCTGTGGGGACGCTTTGAGGCAGCACCGACTGGGCGGCAGTGAGTTTTTTGGTTTACCACCCTTGTTTCCTGAGCATTGTGTGTCAGAGGAAACCAGCCTCTGACAACCGAAGGTCAGTAGGTGCAACTGTAGGTTACAATATATAAAGATTACAGTAACGTCAGAAAAGGAAAGACAGGAGAGAGAATAAAATAAAGGAGTCAGACGCATTTATGGTAGCATGCTCACCTCAGCCCCTCATGATGGTCCACGTGGAGGGGAGAAGAGTCTTCACTGTCTTGGGATATTTATCGCCATCAGACATGCATCTTCAGTAGTTACATACGTCACAAGGTGGGTGGTAACTACAGTAAGGTCCCTGAGTTCCCAGGTGAGGAAACCTAATACCTGCATTGGGGGTGGTAGGAGTGGGGGTTGGGTGACACGGGGGAGGAGATAGCAGAAGGATGTCTGCTTCTGTAGGGAGATAAAGTCAACCATGTGCGCACTTTTAAAAAAGCATAGCTGTTAGGGGAGAATCTGTGGGAATGCTGTTTAAAGCAGGATCGTGTTCTTGGACTTTATCTCTAACTTCCCAAACTGGTGGCTTTCCCACTGTGGAATACTAGCTTTCCAGATCCTGTGAGAAGTTAGGGAATATGGTCCTCATCATAGTTCCCTCAGCGTGAGTTTCCCACAATCGTGCGTCCTGGAATGACCTTCTTTGATGTTGTTTCCGTTTAAAGACAGCCATACCATACCAATTACACACCGTAAAGTTCACCCACTTTAACAGTACCATGGAGTGATTTTGAGTAAATTTACCTAGTGCAACCATTCTCAACCTGTGGGTTGCCCGCTTCATAACAGGAGCAAAATGACAGTGATGAAGTAGCAGCGACAATAATGTTATGGTTGGGGGGTCACCACCACATGAGGAACTGTAAGAAAGGGTCTCGGCAGGAGAAAGGTTGAGAACCACTCACCGACTGGTCACGCGGCAGAGCCCCTCAGGCCCAGTCACTGTCACTTGGCCTGGCCCAGCCCCGGGCACCTGAGGGTCCCCTCTCTCTCTGTGGCTTGGCCTCCTCTGACAATCCACATCATTGCCTCGGTGGCAGTGAGTTGCTTTGGGTTGGGGACTAGTTTCTACCCATGGGTTCAAACCTACCTTGTGTCTGGCTGCTCTCGCTGGTGGAAATGTTTCTAAGGTCCGTCTGTCCATGCGGTCTCCGTACGCTGTCCCTGTCAGTGCTTTGTCCTCTTCCATCGCATGGAAGCTCCCCCATTTGCCACCTGCTGGACACCGGGAGGTCCCCCGTCTGGCTGCGCGGAACCGTGCCACACGAGTCCTGCGGCTGACAGTGGAGCGGAAGTGGAACCCCGCTGACCCCTCTCCTCCTCTTCCCGCCCCACAGAGCCCGGCAGCGGGCAGGTGTCTGTGACGTCGGAGAACCAGCTCGTGTACTACCCCAGCATCACCTACGCCATCATCGGCAGCTCCGTCATCTTTGTGCTGGTGGTGGCCCTGCTGGCGCTGGTCCTGCACCACCAGCGGAAACGGAACAACCTCATGACGCTGCCCGTCCACCGGCTGCAGCACCCCGTGCTGCTCTCTCGCCTGGTGGTCCTGGACCACCCCCACCGCTGCAACGTCACCTACAACGTCAACAACGGCATCCAGTACGTGGCCAGCCAGGCCGAGCAGAGCGCGTCAGAAGTGGGCTCCCCGCCCTCCTACTCAGAGGCGCTGCTGGACCAGAGGTGCGTGCCTGCTGGGGGAGACTGCAAGGGGGTGGGGGGGACACACAGCATGTCTGTCTGTCGGCAGCAGCAGTGACAGCTCGCATCGACTGAGCCCTTGCAAAATGGTTCACATGCCTCCTGACGTCCAGTCCTCCCACGACTCACGCAGAGAGGTTCGATATTGGCTTCCGTTTTACAGACTTGGAAACAGGCTCAGGGACTTGTCCAAAGGCACTCAGTTAGCCCTGCTCCTGCCCCTTAGTGCCACACTGGCCCATGGGCAGGCTACCTCTGAGGGCCAGGGCTTCCCCTGCTGCCCATACATAGAGGAATGGATGTGTGTTTGTTGAATGAATGACTAGGCAGGTAAGTCAAGTTCTTGCTGTAAGATTACAAGGTGGGGGATAGAGCACCCTAGAATGCTTTTAAACAGTAGCGCCCTCGTCGCAAATGGAATTCTATGAGCTACCCCGCAGCGTAAAGCCAAAAACACCATCATTCTGTGGCTGAAGTGAACCCGGAATCCTACCAGCTCAGCCTCCCCATCTCCTCTGTGTCCCCCTAAAATACTCCCTCAAATAACCCTGGGAAGGTCCCAAGCTTCTGGAGGCCCTCTGGGCACTAAGACTTCCATGCCCTGTCCTTCAGAGCCCAGGTCCGCATCCCTGGTCCCCCGAGCCCAGGACATGTTTCTATGGCAACCGGGCTCTTCGGGGCCCTGTCTCAGGTGCATTGCCCCGTCCACATTTTGTCTTCCTCAGAGAAGGTAAGCATAGCTTTGGGGATAGGGGAGTCCCTGTCTTGAAAAGCTCTTTGCAAACTACGTCGGTCACTGGACAGGACCAGACACACCTACTAATGTCCTAACTCAGACCCTGTTCATTGGGCCCCCCTCGTGGGGAGGAAGGTGACGATGGCTGAAACTGGAGACGGAAGGCCTGCTTTCAAACCCCAGCCCTGCAGGTTCCTAGGGTCTTCAAAAAGCCCGTGGAAAATTCCCATGATCTTTCCATTCCATCGCTCCATGGATATGTTGACGCCCTCCCTCCCTCTTATTTGTCACATGAGAAAGCCATGTAACGCCCTTGTGCCTCAGTCCCTGTCAGTTCCATGGGCCTAGAGCAACTGCCTGCCTTGTGGCCTCTCGTGAACACTGGGCAGGGGAAGGAATGGAGGCGACCTGGACCAAGGTGAGACTAGCCAGCGTGTGCTCTAAAGAATGCCCTTTCTGTTGCTTCATTCCGTTTCCAGCAAAATATGATTACCCCCTTATACAGATAAAGGAGCCTTGGCGGAGTAGTGGTTACAAGGTAGGCTGCTAACTGCAAGAGCAACAGTTCGAACCCACCAGCCGCTCCTCAGGAGACAGATGAGGCTTTCTACTCCTGTGAAGAGTGGCGGTCTGGTGAACTTGCCCGGGCAGTTCTCCCCTGCCCTCGCGGTCGCTGGAAGTCAGAATCGTTTTTTAACAGATCAGGGAAGCGAGGCTTTGAGAAGATGCCCTCTCATTTATTCAAGGCCACACCGCCAGCGTGAGTTGGCTTTCACCAGGAAGCGTGGATGGCCCGCCAGGGTCTCAGGAGACACCCTGGCTTGGCTGCCCTGAGGCCCTTCACTAATGAAGCAAAGGAAGCTGCTTGGCCCAGCCACCGAACTGACCGAGGTGCCTGGAAGCCTCATTCTGGACTGGCCCAAAGGGTGCTGTTCGGGCTCTGCCAGCTGACACCGGCCAGCCAGTGAGACACTCTGACCTTCGTTGTTCCTGTCTTGTTCGAGCCAGCCAGCTTCCCTATCCTTGAATTCTCATTTCTCTCCTGAAGCATCTGCCCGGAGACCGCACCTGACCTGTCTCACCTTGGCCCTTACGCCTTCTCTTCCCTCTCCTCCCACCCCAACCTCTGTCTGTCCCCGCAGGCCCGCGTGGTATGACCTTCCTCCTCCGCCCTACTCCTCGGACACAGAGTCTCTGAATCAGGCGGACCTGCCCCCCTACCGCTCCAGAACCGGAAGTGCCGACAGCACCAGTTCGCAGGCGGCCAGCAGCCTTCTGAGCATGGAGGACCCGGGCCACAGCCTGGGGCAGCCCAGGCCTCCGGAGGGTGCTGGGGAGCCCAGGGACTCTCCGCCCAGCCCAAGCACCGAAGAAGTATAAAATCCAGTTATTCCAAAGTCCATGTGGGTGAATCTGCTCTGACTTGTGACCGTGCTGACCGTGGGTACTCAGGGAGGGGGGCTCTGGGGGGGGGTGACACAAGGACCAGTGTAGGGGTACCAGCTCTCTCCATCGTCCTCCACCAGATTCCAGGTAGATCTGCGAGGTGACCAGGCATGTTTCAGGCGCCCCCACGCGACGTCTGTGTGGTGCGCCTGCCCCCTGAAGCCAGTCTCTTTTGGGGGGCCCAGCCCGCATCCTCCATGCTCCCATCTTTCTGAGGTTACAAGTCGCATCCTTCCGAGTCGGCGTCCTACATTTGCAGACAACCGGATCCACAGTATTCACACCTCTGAGAAAGCCGTGCCTCTGTGTTCCAGCCATCGCATGTCCACAGGGACATAGACACTTGGAACCTGGCCTGGATGACCCGATGGCTTGGGATCATTGGGTAGCCAGCCTAGAGAGTGTCCAGGTGGGCATGCAAGTGTCCCAGAGCCACCTTGGGTACATCACACCCTGTCAGTGGGGGGCGGGGGGGAGCCCCAAAGGAGATGTTTGACATGGATGGTGCCCCAAGCTCTCGCCAGCATCATTTCCATGTCGGGAGTGACTGAAAGTCACCTACCTATTCGGAGTGGACTCTGGGTTTCAGAATCAGCCTGAGAACCCTGGTTTGGAAAGCTCTCTCCAGCAGACCTATCTGGGATCTGTCCTCCCAAAATAGACAGCCGGGCCCCTTCTGAGTTTATGCCAGGCCCCAACTCCGACAGTGCAGGCTGCCAGGATCTTAGCCCTGCCTGGTTCCACAGCCCCCTCCATGACTCTAGGTTGTCACCCTCATAAGTGACCAAGGGAGAGGGACGCACCTTGAAGTGGCTGAGAATCGGATCTGGTCCCTTTGGTGCCTGGAACCACACCAGAGTTCCCTGCAGAAGGCCCAGAAGTCTGTTCACCTGTGCGGCTGGTCCTGGCACTGTGGTTTCAACACACGTGAGCGCAGTGCTCAATGCCTCCCAGCTGAGCCCTTGGCTCCTGGTGCTCCTCCCCCTGCCCCTTTTCCCACACCCACTTCTCTTGTGGTTCCCTCCCCGGCCCCTCCAGCATCCATAGGCAACGTGGAGTCCAGGTTTTTTCCTTTGGGCATTTTTGGGTTTTAATCTCTTAGGAATGCATTTGAAATAGTGTGTTTGTTTGGGTCATGTTTTGTTTTTTCCCCTTCCCTTCTAGTGAAGGGACTATTTATATGTGTATAAGAAAGCTGACTGTTTTGTTTCTTTGTTTCCGTGGGGTCCAAAGAAAGCTGCAGATGGAGATGCTGCCTTTGCCCCCACCGAGCCCCGTGCTAAAAAGTCACTGTAGACTAAGTATAACCTGTGTGCCAGGCACCTGTGCATCGTCGCACTCTTATCCAGTGGTTGAAGGATGCAGAAGAGTCCCTGCTTCTCCCTCCATTCAGAGTCTCCCTGTTTGTGCTCCGTGTGTGTGTTGTGTGTTTTGCTTCTCTCTGTGCCCAGCCAGCCCCCTAGGGCCCACCCCTTACAGGAATAACCCCGGGTAGAAGCTTGGGTACCATTTAGCAAGGAACCACCCGGCTGATGGGCATCTAAACTGGAACCAGGAGGAGCCACGCTGGGCAGCTCCCGCCCACTCAGGGCTTCCCTCTTTCAGCAGCGGAGGAAATGCTCAGGCACCTGTTGGACGCTCATTAAAACAGGGCCTGCAGGCGGGGGGGATGAGGTGGCAGTCAATGATCCTATTCTGTAGGCTCTGCCTTCTTTGTACCCAAATCCAAAGCATTTTCTTAGAAGGCTAGCCTCTTGGTGATTGGAAGGAGGGTGGGGGGAAAGACAGTAAGAAAGAAAAACCGTAGTTACTTATTTCTTTCCCTTATAAAATAGCACTTGAGCTGTTTTCTGAGTCATCCAATAAAGAACAGACTTTCTGGTGGCAGCCACGGAGAGCAAGAAACACCCGCAGAGCCCATCTGCTGTGAGTCAGGATGGCTCCGTGCCTCTCTGAAGGGCTCCTGCCTCTCTTGGGTCCTCTAGAAGTTGTCTAAAGGAAAGGATTCTAATTTTAATTAATTGTGCAGTGAGTTAATCTCACCCACTTTCCTCTTCCAGGCATCTTCAGGAAACACAAATGGTCTTAATAGATAAACCAGCTTATTAATGATTTGAAAACAGCAACAAACAGGGACACTTTTATTATAGCTCTGGTTTGCTTTGCATGAATGTTTTTAAAAAGATCTCTAACTAGGACACCAAAGTGGCTGTTTGGTTTTGCTTTTGTGTTCTGCTCCAGATGGCAAAGAAATGGCCAGCAGTATTTTTTAACTCATTCCAACAAGGACAGTCTTTCATGCGTTGCCTAAATCTTCGCCAACCAGAGAATCATCTCAGATGTGTTTCTCAATGAGATCTGCGCATCCCGTTGGTCATAGTGTTAAGCCAGTTCCCGGCGATCACGAGCCGGACTGGAAGCCCTCTGCCTTGAGATCGAAGGGATTGAGGCTTGGGGTTTTGTTTTGCTTTATTTTTAATGCAAATAAAGTGATTAATAAAAACCGTGCGCTGATCAAAGTCCATGTAAACTGGAAAGGTTGTGCGTGGTTGTTTTTTGTTGGAGAGGGTTTGGTTTTATAATTTTTATACTTTCCAATAAACTTGCCATTTCATTCTTTCTATGGGTGTGAATGATCCTTGGCCCTTAGCCTTTCCCTCATGCAGGTGACAATCACTTCTTTAATTTGATGGCCTGAGAAAATGGGAACAGGAAGGCGTTTTTAGGGATTGCATAGCTGACGTGGCTGGCAGAGCACGGTGGAGCTGTGAGCCCCGGTTACTATGGAAAGCTCTGAGGTCTCTGTTTCAAAGACAAGCTTCTTGGGGCTGTGTGGAACAACAAGGCACTTCCGATGACTCCTGTGGATGCAGGATGGGTGTGCGTAAGGAAAGGAGGGGAGGGTGCCCTGGGCAGGTTAAGGTGAAACAAGGTCCTGGGAACCTTAATTAGAACCTCCGGTCTAAGGGTCCGGGACTGCGGGCTGCAGGCAGGGCTGCATCCAGTGGTCGATGGAGGTCCTCAGAAACGTTTTTCTCCCTCTCCAACTTTTTATCCTTGTTAGTCCAGTGTTGGTTCTATGGCTTTGCCCGTGGTGGTAAAGAACCTCCAAGAAGAGCTAGGTCTATAAGCATAGAAGGGTGACACCCCTAGAAGCCATAGAAATGCCCTGACAGGGACTTGTGGTGGGTCATCCTCGGTGAAGTGGCCCCTCCCTATAGTGGGTGAGAATCCCTGGGTGGACAGCCCCACCTGAATTGCATACAGGCGAAAGAACAAATGTCATAGAAGATGCTGGTGGTCCACTACACACTAGGACATCCCCACGGAATGGGACCCACACTGGCAGGCCAGTTTCTTTTTTTTTAAAACATTTTATTAGGGGCTCATACAACTGTTATCGCAATCCATACACACACCAATTGTGTAAAGTGCATTTGTACATCATTCTCAGAACATTTTCTCTCCACTTAAACCCCCGACATTAGGTCCTCATTTTTCTCCTCCCTCCCCGCTCCCCCCTCCCGCATGAGCCCTTGATAGTTTATAAATGGGTATTTTGTCATATCTTGCCCTGTCTGACGTCTCCCTTCACCCACCTTTCGGTTGTCTGTCCGCTAGGCAGGAGGTCACATATAGTTCCTTGTAATCGGTTCCCTCTTTCCTACCCACTCTCCCTTTACCCTCCCTGTTTCGCCACTCACACCACTGATCCTATAGGGCTCATCCGCCCTGGATTCCCTGTATTTTCAGTTCCTATCTGTACCAGTGTACCTCCTCTGGTCTAGCCAGACTTGCAAGGTCAAATTCGAGTCATGGTAGTGGGAGCGGGGAAGAAGCATTTAGGAACTAGAGGAAAGTTGTGTTTCTCATCGTTGCTACATCGCACCCTGACTGGCTCGTCTCCTCCCCGAGACCCCTCTGCAAGGGGATCTCCAGTGGGCGGGCCAGTTTCTAAGAAACCTACCAAACCTGCTGCCAAATGATCAACTGAAGTTGATCCTAACTGATAGAGACCTGGCAGGACCGAGCAGAACTGCCCCATAGGGTTCCGGGCTATACGTTTTTACAGAAGCAGACTAGGTTCATCATTCCCCCAAGAGCAACTGGTGGGTTCGAGCCATACACCTTTGGGCTCGCAGCTGAACACGTAACGGTGTCACCAGGGCTCCTGACAACTGCTACCGGTAAGAAAATAGCACGTAGCTCCAAGCTTCCAGTCGTGACGCTGTAGGCCTTAAATGGTCTGAAGGGAAGACAGGCAGTATGGTGGCCAACGTTCAGAACACTCGGCAGCGTTTCCCGGAAGAGGCAAGATCGGTTTCCGGTTGGTGGCCTCTTGGGCTCGAGTCCCCTGTGCTTTTATGAGAATGCCCTTCAGCAGGGATAACCACCTGGTGGAGGACCTCATGAGCCCCAGGACAGTTCTCCCTGCAAGAGCACCTCCCAACCTGCCCGAGATTGTGCGTCCTTGGATCAACATTTGCAGCTTCTCGGGTTCCTTGGAAGCCTCTGTCTCGGGTGTAAGACATGCTGCCCCCTGGCTGGTGGCATAAGTAGGACAAGCTGAAGAAATGGGCCCCACCCCACCACACCTACTGGAATCTACTTGGCATAGATGTGTCCTGAGTAATTATATTAAAAATCTCTTATTACCTCGAAAAAAAACATTCCCTTCATTTCAGCGGACCTTCCGTTGGTGGCACGTGTGGTACCAACAACAGCAATAAAAAGTAAAGCAGACAGTGTTTTGGTCATCAAAGTGTTCACGGATAGATCAAAGATCCATCCCCATTTGTCACCCGTGCCAAGCTGCCCATGGTCCAATGCCCACGGTCCAGACTCATTGTCATGCACCTCAGGAGCCAGGATGGAACCGGCCAAGCAGTCCCTCAGCATGCCGAACGTGTGGGTAGGTTGGCACGGGTGCACAGGGTTCTTATTTCACCCTGGTGACAAGGTGGTCACCTGTTGGGCTGCTAGCTGCAGGATCAGCTGCTTTGACATCACCAGCCGCACCGAGGGAGAAAGACAGGGCTTGCTACTCCCCTAAAACGTTCCAGGCTCAGAAACTCACAGGGGCAATTCTACCCTGTCCTGTGGGGTCACTATGAGTCACCATCAACTGGAAGGCAGGGAGTTTTGAGAGTGAGTTTTAATGCAGCGAAAGGCTCGAAGCTTTTCCGGGCTTTAAAAGGCCCCCGGGCCGCCAATGAAGGTGGCGGGGACTGCGAGTGGACTGTACGTGTGGGCTAGTTTATTTCACAGCTAGGAGGCATTGATGGCACATGAAACGGTGAGTAAAGAGTTGTCCTTAACCTGGGAGAAGCCTGTGTCTAGAGAACTGCCTCTTGCCGGGCAGGTGATATCTCAGGGGTTTGGAGGCTGCCTTCCTACAAGATTCGGGGCTTGGGCCGTGGGGGACAGATGGAAAATTGGGGCAATCATGTTCATTATGATAGAATTGATGAGTGCTGAAAGGCACTGGTTGGGTCAGTGGTGGACTTGTGCTTTACCCGTGGGAGAGCTGGGCTCATTGCTCAGCCAGTGCACTCACCTGCTCGTGATGGCATGTGTATTGTGGTGCAGAATAGGTTGGAATGGAGTTTCTGGACTAAGACAAGGAAGAAAGAGAGAGAGATCAGGAAGGGAGGAAGGCTTGATGACCTAGTTCCAGAAGCCAGCCAGTGAAACCCTGTGAATCACGGACATGCAATGGCTGTGGCTGCAGCCATGATCTGAACCACAGAGGGAATTCACTCCAGAGCTCCCGCGTCCGCTGCCTCTGACGTCACCTTGGGGATCCTAGTGAACCAGAGTCCAAGGCCCCACGGGAGCAGATGTGGCCGTGCTCCTGGGCCAGACCTGGTGGTGGCATGCCCTCCTGCTCTCCCATTCCGTTCCCACGGCCACACGGACCTGGACGGAGGCTGAGCGTCCAAGAGTGGGAAGTCGATTTTGCTTTCCAAGGTACACTGCTGGTCTCCAGCTCTCTGCGGGTTGAGACACCCATCCATCTCACCATCTCCGATCGACTCAGGTGGCAGCCAAGGAAACAGTGGTACTCTGTCACCTGGTGAAGAAGCCCCTGGGAGCTCACTGCAGCAGAGCTGAGAACTCTCACCTTCCGGGAGGAGCCCGCCAATGGGACCTCTGGTCAGTGACCTCCAGTGCAGCCTCAAGGGCGAGCGGGTGCCAGGGGGCATTCGCATTGCTCTGATGATAAACATGTTTCAGCACAGCTTCCACACTAAGAGCAGGAAGTCGGGTCTGGAGACCTGCTTCTGAATACCAGCCAGCGGAGCCCCTGTGGATTGCAGTGGCCCCATCGCAGCTGGTCCGGGGAATAGCACCGCGGAGAAACCCCAGGCTCTGGGGCTGCGGCTGAGGCTACAGCTGGGACAGGAGTTCTAGAGCTGTCCAAAGCCTGCAGTTTCTTGTCCCCCGGCAGATGAGCAGCTGGCTTGAACCCCTTGACATTATGATTGAGTGTTGATTCTGCTACACAGCTGCCACCCTGATCATCTGGCCCCCACGTTCTCCAAACCACATACTTCATTCTGCCCCGCTGCTGAAAGGGGCAGCGTAGGCTCCACGGCTGCCAGTGAAGATCCTGGCTGACCCAGCGTTATAGGCAGCAGGCACCTGGGGGAGTAAGCCCTGGATTAGTCAAGTCCACCGGTCTATGCTCAAGCCTCAGCTCTGCTCCTGGCCCGCCACGTGAGCCGTGTGACTTCTGCGCAGGCTGGAGCCACTCTGTCCAACCAAAGCCCAGCTTTGCATCTATAAAGCGAGTCTAATGTCTTTCCTTCTGTAAGCAGCAGAGGTCAACTCATGCGTTCCTGCAAAGACAAGCCCCTTGCAAAGGGCAGTGCTGGAGTGGTGTGTGCACCTCAGCTCTGACTCAAAGGGACCCGCAGGATAGATGAGAACTGCCCCACGGGGTGTCCTTGGCTGCAGTCTTTACAGGAGCAGATCGGAGTTCCCTTTCTCCCACACAGCACTTGGCAGGTTCAGTTCTCCCACCTCGGAGTTCACACCAGAGAGCTTACCCACTGCCCCACCAGGCCCCTTCCCAAGGGAACTAGGAGCCTATGGTGGGAGGCCATGCCCGACCACCCTTGCATGTAAATGGAAAGAGGTTTAGAAATCTAAGCTGACATCTTCAGGGCAAAACTGAATGTGCGTGCACCCAGGAGACTGTTTGGTTGGGTTCTGCCGGGAAGCCAAACCACAGGCACTTGTACGTGCCATCTGTAGACAGAGATTTATATCCAAAAATAGCATACACCGCTGTTAGAAAAGTAACTCCAGACTGGTTCAAGTCAGGCGCCTCCTGACTTGTGGACGCTGGTGAACAGGAAGCAGGATGAAGAAGCAGAGAGCAGGGGCACAGGCTGGTGGATGGAGAGGTGGTGGATCCGCCCACATGAATCCCCCACGGGTTGACTGCGCTCTGGGATTGGCAAGAAACAGAAGAGAAGAACTGGGAATCAGATGCAAGACCCGGCCCCAACAGCAGGCGAAGGACCAAAAAGCAGTCCACTGTGCTTGGTGTTTCTGTCTCAGACAAAAAGACTTTAGACACCAGGAGGTGTCATCAGGCTTTGGTCCAATTGAT